GGGGCCCGCTGGGCTCGCTTAGGCAGTCTTGAAGCCCTGTCGGGGCTCTCCTGGAACCGTTTTGGGCGGCTCCTGGGCCATCTTGGGGCTCTCCTGGGCCGTCTTGGGACGATTTTGGGGGTCTTTTGGGCCGTCTTGGGGCGGTCTTGGGGGCCTCTTCGGCCGTCTTGGAGCGGTTTTGGGAGACTCTTGGACGGCCTATATATATATATATATATATATACACATACATATATCTACTATATATATATATATATATGTATACATATATATATATATATATAAACACAAACATACACATATATATATATACGGATGAAATTGAAATGCGTGGAAGGAAGTGGCACGACTCGGGAGGGCTTGGGGGAGGGGTATATATACACACAAATACATATACATATACATATACATATACACACATATATATATAGAAACATACGTAAGACATGTAGGATTGTGTACACAGGAGAAGGACAATCTATAGAAACATACGTACGTCGTCCAAGGCGCCTCGGAAGGCGCCTCGGAAAGCGCAGAATACTCCTCCAAGGCGCGGAATCATGTTCCCGGACCGCCTTCCGGGAACATGATGGGGACGACCTCCTGAGGGCCTCCAGTGGGCCTCTTATATATATAGCACCAGAAACGCTCCTCGAAGCCAGGCTGGAGACTGAGAGAGCTCGGGACCCAACGAGACACCCCAAGGACTACAAGCTATGGTGCGAGGTTCACTTGGGGCCCCAACCTTTTTATAGAGACACTGCGGCGATGGCGAAGTCGACGCTGTTCGACCACCGGCAAGAGAATAGGCCAGCAGGCTGGCGATCTGGACGCCAAACCCCCAACGGAGAAACATATACCGAATTAGGGTGGGAGGGTCGGGTCGCTTGAGCCGAACGTTGCGGTTCGGCGTCCCTCCTCTCTTCTTCTTGCTTAAACATTGAAATGTGGGGAGCACCAGAAACGCTCCTCGACGCCAGGCTGGAGACTGAGAAAGCTCGGGACCCAACGAGACACCCCAAGGACTACAAGCTATGGTGCGAGGTTCGCTTGGGGCCCCAACCTTTTTATAGAGACACTGCGCGATGGCGAAGTCGACGCTGTTCGACCACCGGCAAGAGAATAGGCCAGCAGGCTGGCGATCTGGACGCCAAACCCGTCCCCAATCTCCCGAGTGGTGAAATTGCCGTCAGGCCGCCAACTCCCACGCCATTCCGAACGACTTGGAGGACTCCAGGTTCTGGGCAACCTCAAGCAAGTGCTGGGCCACAGCAGCAGCTATGTTCTCGGGGCACGCGGCCGCGAAGGCCGTGCGCTTTGCAGGGGCCCCGGGATCTCGACCTACAAGGATCACATGCGGGCGCTTGGCGTGCCCGCAAATACCTCGGCGGCCACCGCGAGCCCGACAAAGATCATCACAGAGACCAGCGCCCCACAGCGCCACGGTAGCAGCCTTCTTCCAAGAGGAACCAAAGGCGCATTGGTCGAAGTGGTGGATCCGACAGTCCTCGGCATTGAGGAGAGAGGCAAGGGGCCGCGCAAGCCGCAGGATTGAGGAGCGAGGGTTCTCCACGCCAACAGGAATGCCATGCTTACGACAAAAGTGAATGATGGCAACTGTGAGGGTCAGAGACGCGTTGCCGATGTCAACCATGCGCTGGTGGCGCTCTGACAGGTCAGGCACGCCCATGGGCTCACGAGAGGTGCGAAGACCAATCCGAACGGCACGAGACCAGGACGTGCAAGGCGTTCCCAAAAACACACCATACAGCGCATTCGAGGTAATCCAACCTTTGACGACTCTGAAAAAGGCTGGCCGTAAATGATCCTCTACGGCACCGTGAGCCCAGTCCAGGGAAAGGGCGGCGCCGCCTCGCCGCCTGAAGGCCCGAGCCAGAGAGCCTGACCCACCGAAGAGCTCTAAGAAGCAACGGTGAGGCAGGATGCGCTTCTGCCGGCCTGGCCGCTGGATCTCGGCGGCAAAGCGGCGGTGCAGGTGCCGAGTGACGTCGCCGTCGGCGGCGGTCAACGGCGCGGCCGCCCCAGCAGCGGCTGCCCGCCTGCCCGCGCGGTCGAGCCCTTCGCGAGCGGCACTGGCGTTCCCCTGAGGAGCAGGGCGCCCACGGCGGGCCCCCGCACGATGCGACTCCTGGGGTCGGCCAGACCGCGCAGCAAGGCAGCCTCGAGGTCGTCCGCCGCCGACTGGCCGAAGGACACCACCTCGGGGCTCACGAGGTTGAGGATAGCCAGCAGCTTTGACTCCTTGCTGTACCTGCGGAGCGAGGTCTCGCTCTGCCAACGGCCTCGTCTCTGCACGGCGGCCAGTGGTCTGCGCTGCAGAGCCAGGTCCTCGGAGGCGCCGCCGTGCCGCAGCTGGCACAGGCTCGGCCGCAAAGGGGCCAGGCCAAGCTGCAGCGCGGCGCTCTCGAAGCGCGCCTTCAGGCCCGCCGGGCACAGGTCGCAGAGCAGCGCGTCGGGGGCGAGCGAGCCCTTCAGGGCAGCCAGCGGTCTCAGGATCCAGGGGTCCATGTCCAGCAGCACCGACTCGCCCCAGACCCCCGTCATGCCTAGCTGCAGGGTGGCCATGTCGCCCAGCAGCAGGCCCCGCGCGGAGTAAGCTGCCCCTGCTGATGCCACCGGCGGCGCGACGTGTCAGGCTCTCAGCCTGGTGAGCTCGCGCGGCCTCAGGTAAGCGACCAGCGCTAGCAGCAGGAGAAGCCCCGCCCGCGAGAGGCCCCAGTGAATGAAGAGGCCTGCGATGGCACCCGCAACCGCCCGCGGCATCGGCAGCCGCGTCTGGGCCGGCACCCTCCGGCGCCAGGCTGCGCAGCGCCTGGCGGCCCGCGGCAGCAGCGCGCGTGTGGAGCGCCCCAGCTCCGGCAGCCAGTGACCCAGTGCCGACAGGGTCTGCGAGCCCACGTCCGGCCCCAAGCCCAGCAAGAACAGGTGGTTGAGGAAGGACACCAGCGCCGCGTCCAGGGAGCCGGCGTCCGTCCACGAGAGGCCCTCCTGCCGGCAGAAGTCCACGGAGCGCTTCAGCACCGAGGCGCACAGGGCTTCCGTGGAGGGCCGGATCGCAAGCCGCTCCAGCGCGCTCAGCCCGCCAAGGCTCGGCTGCGCCGCGACCGCCTCGCGAGCCGCGCGGCCCCTCTCCATCGCAAGCGCCGCGGGCGCTCGGCAGCGCGGCAGGCGAGGCTGGGGCGGAGGGGCCGCGCTCGGCCGCCGCAGGGCCCTGCCCATGCGCCTCTCGCGAGAAGCGGGGCGCAGAGGGCACGTGGCCGCCTGAGAACCAGCCCAAATGGCCACGGGGCGGGACATCAGCGACGTTCCATTCTGAAGGGGTCCACCTGCTGACAAATCTGGTACCCGAACAAAGACTGAGACAACAAAGCTTGCGAAGTACACGTTGGAGATGGACGGCGTTCGCTCTGCCCTTTGCCATGGCGAGGGCCAAAGGAAGATTGTCCACAAACACGAGACAGCGGGTGCCAAAGTTGCTACAGCTTCGGAGCAGGTGTTTCACAGCAAGCAGCAAAGCGTCGCCCTCCAGACAAAGGATGGAAGCTTCGCCCAAGACCTTAGCAGCCAGGATGGTAGACCAAGACTCCGCCTTGAAGAGCCACTCGGGGACCTCGTTGAAAGCCCTAGCCCACTGTAGGACGTAAATGGGGTCCACCGAGGCCTTGGGGGGCAGGTCCGAGAGGTTAGCCTCAGGGTTCACGGAAATCTCCAAATCGTCTATGTTACGAGTCATCAATGTAGGAGTCGAAGTAGCACCCACAAGAGGAGGAGGAGGATATCCGTGAAGGGCAGAGTGTCTAGCGCGTGCATAGCCTTCCACCTTGAAGCGCCACCTTTCCGAACAGCGCCCAATCGAGCCCACTGCGTCCGGATCCAGCAGGCGTGAACAGATGCCGAGCCCGTGCTCGGAGGCGTCCGATGCAAGAACTTGTGGGCCCCACGGCGCCGACAGGTCGGCAGCAAGGAGCAGCAACATACCTCTGATCCAGCTCAGCTCGCGCAACACACCAGGCCAAAATCGCGTCGGCCTGGGGCCTGCACTGTGCTGGAAAGCGTACACATCTGAGAACAGAGCCAGACACTCGCGACGAACGAGACCGGCCCACGTAAGGTGCCCCAAGAGGATCTCCACCAACTTCCCACTAGCCACTCGTTTCCGAAGAACGATGTCAAGAGCCCGTCTGAGTCGCCATACGTTACGACGCCGAATCGAGAGCCTCCGACCGCCCACGAGCTCGACCCCCAAGAACTCGGCGCCCTTGGACGCGTCCGACATCTCGTGGACCAGGAGCCCCAACGTTGCGAGGTGCTTAGCGATGGCGTCACGGCCCGCCTGGGCCCTCGAAGCCGAGCGGCTGAACACGAAAAAGATGTCGACGTACCCCGCGACGACGCACGACTCCTCATCCTTCAACTCCTTACCGGGCTCCCCGTCAAGGCTCATCTGAGGCTGGGGGGACCCCGACACCACCAAGCTGTTGACGAGCACAGTCTGAACGAGATGCATGGCCCACGACCATCCCATGGGAAGCACCGTGAGCACCGGCGCGAGCGAATCTCTGGGGCTCACCGCGCGCCCCTCGCACGAGGAAAGCCCAAGATACCCCGCCGCGATGTCAGACAACGGAAAGTACTCACACAGCTCGCTGGGTAGGCCTACGCGGTAGAAGCAGTTGTCGATGTCCCCGCCGGAGACGCACATGCCCTCGGAACCCGGCTCGACGGAACTGATGGCTGAGGAGGTGGGGAGTCTCGCGAAAAAAGGGCCCTGGAAAACAACAGTTTACTTGCCTGGTATCGAAGATCAATCGCAGAGCTCCAGACTTCTTAGCTGCGAAGAAGATGCCCACCCTGGCGCGGGCTGCGCAAGAGCGCCTAAAAGAAATCATGTTCGTCTGAGCGATGTCCTTTAAAAAGTCAGCGCAACAGAAAGGCCTGCCCGTCGGCGCCCTATCCGCGCAGGGGCCGCGCGGGCAGGCCTCCGCCACAAGCGAGAGGGCCTCGCTCTCCAGTCTGAGCAGATCGCCACAGGAGGACCCCAGCCACTTGCGGTCGCCCTCGGCGAGCAAATCCAGCAACGGCACGGGCTTGCCAGCGCCATCGGGCAGGGGGACGTTTCCCTTGGCGCAGGGGCGAGTGCTGGAGGGCTCCGCGTGATACGGGCCGCCAGCGGCGCAGAGCTCGGCGAGGGCTCCCGCGCCGCCGGGTGAGTCCGCAGGGGGCCCACCCAATTGCAAGAACTGTGACTCGATGTGGGCCAGCGCCGCTCGCTGACCAGCGTTGCCAACTGATGACGGCTGCTCCGACTTCGCAAACCCGTTGGCTGAGTTGAGGGAGTCGATGCAGCTGTTCGCCCAATCGATCGTCTTGGAACTCCTCTGGCGTCGCCTGCCAACGACGCGGCTGCACCCAGGCCCGGATCCTCCAGCACCGCAGCGGAGCGTCAGCGGCGGCAGCGGGAACAGGTCACGCGCCGAGGATCAGGGAGAGGCCCACCCGAAGAGGAGTCGCACGCATCGCCAGGAGAAGCAGCGTCGGGGTGGCGAAGCCCGGGCGGGGGCCTGAAGTGGCCGGCGGGGGTGGCCCTGTCCTCATCATCGCCGCCGCCGTCTTTGCCACCCTTGGCCTTCGCTTTGGCCTTCGTGGCAGTCTGGGCGGCGGCGCGCTCTTCACGGGCCTTCCTCCTCTCCTTCAGGATCGCGTGCTCCTGAGCCAGTTCCTGGCTGACCCATGCCTGCAAGGCCGGGCACGCGCAGCAGTTGCCGCGCACCAGCTCAGTCCCCAGGTACAGGTGCTGATCCATGCGCACGGGGTCCGCAGCGCCCGCCGTCCTCTCACGATACTTCTCCTCGATGATCTGCAGGCTCCTGCCGAGAAGCTCGAAGCCGGCCATCTCGGTCACATTCAGTTGGTCGAAGCAAACGGCATTCTCGAGGGCGGTGCAGATTCGCAGGTGCTCCTCCACACCGCCCTCGTTTGTCAACCTGCAGTCGGTCTTCCACCGGCGGTAGCGCGCGATGGGACTGCCGCCGTTGCCTGCTAGAAAGTGACAGACCCACTTCAACGTGCGAGGGCCTCTGACCGGCCAGTCGGCCCAGGGCGTCTCCGTCAGCATGGGCAGCGCCTCCGCGAAAGGACGATGTCGCCTCGCCATGGTGTCCACCACGATGGGGTGCACCCTCAGGTCGGAGACCATGGCAGCTCCACCTCCAGCTGGCGGCGGCGCGGGCGGCGCCACTGGGCCAGGCGCCAGGCCGGCCACCAGGGCGCCCGCCACGGGGGCGACCGGAGCGGGCGGCGCCGCAGGGGCGGCCCCCACCAGGGCGCCACCAGGGCCAGCACCCGGCGCCGCGACGCCACCAGCAGGTCCCAGCACCGCGGCGAATGCCCCGAGCCCGCCTCCGACGCCAGCACCCTCGGGCACAGGCGCGAGGGCCCCAGGAACCCCAGCAGCGGCGGCGCCTCCGGCCACGGCGGCCGCGCCAGCGGCAGCGGGCGCCACGCCTGGCATGCCGACCCCAGCAGGCGGTGCGCCAGCTCGGCCGACCGTGTTCGGCGCCAGTGGCAGCCCCGGCGCGGCGGCGCCGGCCCGCTGGGCAGCTCGGTCACGCGCCTGCCCCAGCTCCGCGGCCAGCGGGATGGCGCGGAAGCGGTAGAGGCGAGCACCAGCACCTCCCGCCCCAGCCGGCGGCGCTCCTCCTTGAGCACCGCCTGGCAAGAAACACCACTCTGCGGCGTCGCAGCCAGCCCCGAGATCCTCCTCGTAGCTGTCCCCGTCTGGCGTATAGCAAGCGCAGACCGCACCGGCCTGCTGAGGTAGGTATACGCACAGCCGTTCGTGCCAGAGAGGCGGCCCCGGAACTTGAAAGCGCACCAGGTAGAAGTCACCCTCTGCGAGGCCTGCAATCTCTAAGCCATTCACCGCCATGGGAACGACCTCACCAGTCCCTGGGCAGCGTCCTCGGGCGCCCCGATCGCCGCCCACGCGCTCGATGCGGCACCAGCACGGTCACTCGGAGTGCTCCCCGAGCGGCCTAGGCGCCAGGCGCCGGGCAGCTAGGCGAACGCGAAGCCCGCGGCCACGCACAGGTGCAGCACGATCCACCCGTACGAGTAGTGTGGCCCGCAGTGCACGGTGGGGCACGCAGGGCAGGTGAAGGCGCAGCTGCAGGTCGGGCACTGGCAAGCGCAGTCTGGGCACCCGTGCCCTGCCGCGCGCACGGCCGCGCCTATCCCCAGCCCTCGGACAATCTCGAAGACCCCCTGTTCCAGGAGGTTCATGGAAAGGCGTGGGTTTTCGCTTGAGCCGAACGTTGCGGTTCGGCGTCCCTCCTCTCTTCTTCTTGCTTAAACATTGAAATGTGGGGGTATATGTACATATATATAATATATTATATATATATATATATATATATATATATATATATATATTATAAACATACGTAAGACATGTAGGATTGTATACACAGGAGAAAGACAATCTATAGAAACATACGTACGTCGTCCAGGGCGCCTCGGAAGGCGCCTCGGAAAGCGCAAGATACTCCTCCAAGGCGCGGAATCATGTTCCCGGACCGCCTTCTGGGAACATGATGGGGACGACCTCCTGAGGGCCTCCAGTGGGCCTCTTGGGGGGCCTATCGGAGGCCTGTTGGGCTCTCCTGGAGGCGTCATGGGGCGCGCTCAGGGCCATTTTTGGGCATCTTGGGGGCCTCTGGGGGCCTCCGGGGAGGCTCTTGGGGGCCTCTTTGGGGCCTCTTGGGGCCTCGCGGGGCCCTCTTGGGGACCGCTGGGCTCGCTTAGGCAGTCTTGGCCGTCGGGGCTCTCCTGGAACCGCCTTGGGCGGCTCCTGGGCCATCTTGGGGCTCTCCTGGGCCGTCTTGGGACGATTTTGGGGGTCTCTTGGGCAGTCTTGGGGAGGTCTTGGGGGCCTCTTCGGCCGTCTTGGAGCGGTTTTGGGACACTCTTGGACGGTCTTGGAGCGTCGAAACTCTGAAAAAACGAGAAGGCCAAAAACCTAGAAAATTATCCCGGCAAAGCAACCTAACAGCGATGTGTAGAAGCATATCTGAAAGCATTCCCCTTAAGATTCAGATGAAAATCCAATTGTAGAATTCTGCTGTTCTCGCAGTCGTAGTCGCATTCGCGATGACAGTCGCAGCGGCAACGGCAGTCGCAGTCACAGCCTCAGCCTCAGCCTGCCTCAGCCTCAGCCTCAGCCTGCCTCAGCCTCAGCCTGCCTCAGCCTCAGCCTCAGCCTGCTTCAGCCTCAGCCTCAGTCTGCCTTCAGCCTCGGCCTCAGCCTCAGCCTGCCTCAGCCTCAGCCTGCATCAGCCTCAGCCTCAGCCTCAGCCTGCCTCAGCATCAGCCTGCTTCAGCCTCAGCCTCAGCCTGCCTCAGCCTCAGCCTCAGTCTGCTTCAGCCTCAGCCTCAGTCTGCCTTCAGCCTCGGCCTCAGCCTCAGCCTGCCTCAGCCTCAGCCTGCCTCGGCCGCAGCATCAGCCTGCCTCAGCATTCAAAATGTGGCCCAAGAATGGAGTTCTGGGAACTAGAAGAACACGAAGTGGCCTACAGTTGGCTCCGGGCATTCAAAATCATGCCCAGGAATGGAGTTTTGGGAACTTGAAGAACACGAAGTGGCCTACAGCTGGCTCCGGGCATCCAAAATGTAGCCCGGGAGTGGAGTTCTGGGAAGTCGAAGAGCACGAAATGGCCTACAGTTGGCTCCGGGCATCCAAAATGTGGCCCGGGAATGGAGTTCTGGGAGGACCAAGAGCGATTTTGCGAGGATGTCCCAAGCGATTTCGGCTTCGACGGCAGCCTCCCGGGTCCCGGCCAGACCCCCCTGAGGAGTCATGATGCTTCTTTTGAAACCACTAGAAACCTATCAGCAAGAGCTGCTAGGTAAAAACAATCAAAATCAACGATTTTGGCTTGTCGCGGCTCTCTTGGGAGGCCTCTTGGGATGCCTTCGGGGCCTCATGGAGCTCTCTTGGAACGTCTTCGGGCCTTCCTGGCCATTCCTGAGGCTATGTATGCGCGTCTTGGAGCGCTCGCGGGCCGTCTTGGGCGGTCTCGATCTGTTCCTGGCGGTCCCAGGGGCCCTCCGGGACGCTTCGGACGCTCCCGGGGGCGCCCTGCACACCCCATGGAGATGACAGGCACCGCCCCGGGGCCCTACTCCGATATATATATATATATATATATGTATATATATATGTATATATACACACACACCATTGAACGCCCATCAACAAATCCAGCGCGCATGGCCAAACAGTGCACAGGGTACAACAGGCGTTGTTATCCGTGGGATCGTTCTTGCCATGACGCATGGTGTAGCCCGTGTAACCATTCTCGTCGTAGTCGGTTGTGCTGCCTATGTACGCCGGTCGTGTTGCTGGGGCCGCCATCCGAGCTCAAGCCCCTGCCGTCGCCATTGTCGCTACAGCTCTTGCCGAAATCCGAGTTGGTGCTGATGCCAGGCACGCGGTCTTCGAGGTCGTCCTTGACGTCGACAGCGCAAGGCGGTCGAGATCTCCCCAGTGACGCGGCTCACGAATGTGACGCATGATATTGACGTGATGTGCCTTGAAATGGTGAAGCCTTGTCGAACTCGCCGTTCTGCTGTAGACCAGCCCGCGCTGCCAGAGTCCCTGACCAGCTTGCGCAAACCCTTGGCAGTGAGTCCTGGTCATAGCGGCCACATCGCGCAGCACATGGCCGTGCAGGTCTTGGATGAGCGGGTGAGGAAATATCGAGAAACAACAGGACTTACAACAACCGCGCCGCGACTGGAGCCAAAAAGGCTACGGAGGGAGAGGACAGAAGGAGGAGGAGGAGGCCGAGGCGGAGGCGGAGGAGGAAAAGGAGGAGGAGGGAAGGAGAAGGAGGAGGAGGTACGCACGAGGCAGAAGGGAGGAGGAACCAGGACGGGGCAGAGGGGAACGGCAGGCCAGGCGGGCGGGCGGGGCGGGCGGCGGAGAGGGAGGGCCGCTTCGGCGCCAGGAGCACCGCGGGGGCCCCCCGCCTGCTGCAGACCGCTGTACCCGTAGCCGCCGCCGTGGCCGCCGGCGTAGCCTCCGTAGCCTCCGTAGCCGCCGCCGAGGCCGCCGCCGAGGCCGCCGGCGCCGCCGCGCCCCCACCACGAGGCCATTCGGCCGGCGCGGTCTAGCGGTGCAGGAAGCACTAAATCGTGAAGGCTTGAGAACTCACGGATGTCAAGGAGGGGGTGATGTGCATGCATATGTATATATATATATATATATATATATATATATATATATATATATATATATTTGCACACCCACATAATCATATTCATACGTAAGTGCATTCATTCATACATTCATTCATTCATTCATTCAATACATACATACATACATACGTGCGTACGTACGTACATACATACATACATACATACATACATACATACATACATACATACATACATACATACAAACATACATGCAAATCTACATGCGTACATACATACATGCATGCATACATACATAAATACCTACCTACCTACCTACCTACATACATACCTACATACATAAATACATGCATACATACATATATACATATATACATACATACATACATGCGAACATACATACATACATACATACATACATACATACATACATACATACATATAGACAGACAGACAGACAGACAGCCAGGCAGGCAGACAGACAGGCAGATAGACAGACAGCCATGCATACACGTGTGTATATGTGTACAACCATACGTACTAGAACCATCGCGCGTGCTTTGCGCGCGCTTAAGTTCTGGCTAGGCTGGAGGTTCGAACTCTTGGGGATCTCTATTACATGACACTTCTTCTTCGCTTCCAAATAACACGAAGACGGCCCAAATGGCTTCCAAGATTTCCTACGGTCCACCCACGACGGCTTAAGACATGCCGGGGCCCTTCTATTCGCCGCGGATGGATGTAGCCAGAGGAAGAGGGAGGAGAAGGGGAGGTGAGGGGGTTCCCTGAGGAAGAAGGAGAAGGAGGATGAGGAGGAACGGAGAGGGTGGCGGAGGCCGCAGAGGAGGTTCTGGAGGAGGAGGAGGAGTTGGAGGAGGAAATATGATGTTTCCTTTTTTTTGCAAGCGTAGCGAAGCTGCCAAGCGAACTTAAAACATCGATCTTGGAATTCAAGTTTCTCAAAGGCCCTCGGGGCCTCTCTCGCGGCTCTTTTGGGCCTCTTTGGGGCTTCTTGGGGCCTTCTTGAAGCCTACTGGGGGTCTCCCGGGGCGAAGGTTCTCGGTTCACGTTCCCGATCCTGGGCCGCGGTTTGGGCCCTCTCGGGCCGTCTTGGACTTCTCTTCGGTACTTTTGAAGCCTATTGGGCCGTCTTGGGGCGCTTTTGAAGCCTATTGGGCCGTCTTGGGGCGATCCACGGAGACTCTTGGGGCGTTTTGCAACGTCGGGAAGCGGAACAGGCGGAAACGCCAAAATTGTTCAAACACCTATGGGAAATATATGTTTTCTGCCTCTTCGAGCTCTGTTGGGAGACCTCTTGGAAGCCTCTTGGGTATCTTGGGGGCCTCTTGGGTCGCCTGGAGGCTGTCTTGGGCATCTTGGACCATCTAGTGGCCTTCGGCCCATCTCGCCACCGTGCCTGGGTTGTGGGTTAGAGGCCTCTAGGGACTTCGTTTCGAATTCGTGGGAGGCCTCTTGAAGGCAGTTTTGGAGGCCTCTTGGGGGCCGTTTGAGGTGGTCTTGGGGCCTCCTTTTGGGCCTCTTTGGGGCTTCTAGGGGGCCTCTTGGGCTCTCTTGGGGGCCTCTTGAGGTCTCCTGGGGGCCTCTTGGGGCGAAAAGCTCGAATTGTCGGTTCGTGTCCCCCCTCTTGGGCTCCTCTTGGGGCCGTCTTGCCGCCCTCTTGGGCGATCTTGGGCGCCTCTTGGGCCGTCTTGGGGCACTCATGGGCAGTCTTGGGACTCTTTCGCGCCGTCGTGGCGCCCTCTTTGGGTGCCTCTTGGGCCGTCTTGAGCTCAATTCTGGGGCCTCGTGGGCTGTCTTGGACCGTCGGAAGCACGAACAGCGAGAACACGAAAAGCCTTCAAAAACCTTCGAACAAAAACATACATGTTTTACCTCCTGAGGGCATCGTAGGAGTCCTGTTGAGGGCATCTTGGCCGTCTTGAGGCCCTCTTGGGCTCTCTTGGAGCGCTCTTGGGCCATCTTGGCGCCCTCTTGGAAATCTCACGGACCCTCTCGTCGCCCCCCTCCCCCTCCTTTGACGCGTTCTGGCGCTCCCCGACGGGTCCAAAACGGCCAGGTACTAAATTAGTGAACTCCGGGCCCCCTGGAATCCCCTCCTCATTTCTTATGTATATATATATAGAGAGAGAGAGAGAAAGAAACAAAAAGAGAAAGAGAGAGAGAGAAAGAAAGAAAGAGAGAGGGAGAGAGAGAGAGAGAGAAACAAATTCTCTGACCGTCGCCGTGCTAAGCCAGGGGGCCCAAGAGGCTTGCAGGGTGTTTTTCGGAAACAGTTTTGACCCCGCTTGGGGGCTGTTTGGGCGTCTACCCCCACAGTGGGATCCCGAACGGACACGTCGAGCCCTCGTCCCCGAGAAGCGCGCGCAACATCTCCAAGAAACCCCTCAAAGGCCCAAGCAGAGCCCCAAGAACCCCAAGAGGCCCCCACGATGATCCCAGGACGTTTCCAAGAGGACCCAACCTACTCCCCAGGGGCCCACGACAGCCCCTCCGAGAAGACCCTCAGAAGCCTCTACGAGGACTCTGACGCACAACCCAGGCACGGCGGCGGCATCGGCCGAATGCCACTGGATGGTGTGAGCTCGTGTGAGATGTGTAACTGCCTCGACCCCCCAACAACCCTCCCCGAATGCCCGCGTTGAGGCCACGAACCGTTCACGACCCCCAAAACAACCCACCCAAAAACAACTACACACCAACTACTCCGCCCCAAGCCTCTGGAAACCCACCGCCGCCCCAGCACCGCGGCAGGGGCACCGAGCACGCGGGCAAATGCCAGCAGTGCAGCATTATGTGCCGGCGGAGTGAGCTAAGCGATTGCATACAGTCGGGGCGCTGACCTAAGGAACCCTAGATAAGGAACGAGGCCTTCTTTTCCCAAAAGTTGATCTTCGATTCCCCATGGCAAACCTTCGGGAAACCTACGGCAAACTGCACAACAGTCAAGGAACGCCAAGCCCCTCCCCAACGACAAGGATCCTTCTTCAGCGCCCCGACTGTACATTCGAGAAGTGCCTGGCGGGTTGTCGGGTCCCCTGGTCCCTACGGCGCCACAGCAGCCCCGCAAGGGCCCCAAGAGCGCCCCGCACGGCCACAGACGGCTGCAAAAACCGCCGAGGCGGCCCCACAGCGACCCCGGACGCCCTCACCTCCCCAACATGCACCTGAAGAGGCCCAGGGCTCCAGAGGAAAACTGGCATTTCCAGCATATTCGCTCTTGTTCTTTTCGAAGCGTCCACGACGGCCTAAAGAGCAGGCCCCACGAGGGCTCCAGACGGCCCCAGGACGGCCCATGAGGCGCGCAAGACGGCCCAAGAGAACCCGAACTGGGGCCCCCCAAAAGGCCCAAGATGGCCCCAAGGCGGCCCAAGAAACGCCCAATCTGGCCCAAGACGACTCCAAGACGGTCCGAAAAGCGCACCGCACGGACCCTGAATGCACGAGAGGCCCTCGCGAGCCCCAACAGAGCACCCTGGGGGGCCCCAAACGACCCCCACGAGGGTTCAAAACTGCATCCAAGAGAGGGGGGCGGACGAGAGGCGAGAGGCCCTTCGCGTTCGCAAAAAAACAGTCTTTGAAGCTCGGGTCGCCCTGGGCACTTGTCTTCTGCGCGACGGCGACGACGGCGACGACGACGCCGTGTCGCTCCGCGGGATCGGCGGCGAGCGAGAGAGGCGATGTTTTGCAACGTGCGCAGCGACATCTTGACTCGGAGCTTCGCGCTGCGCCGCGCTCCGACTTCTGCTGCGAGTCGTGACATCTTGCTGCGACCTGCCACGCTTAACTTCTCGGGAGCGGCCAAGAGGGGGGTGTCCAAGAGGGGGGGTGCAAATCATGACCAGCGGCATGTGCGCGGCCCTGCGGGGGGGCCAGGGACGTAAGGAAACAGGAAGAGGCGCCATGAAATCTGGGGAAATATCATGGCCCACGCCATGAGGTCCACCCCCCCCTAGTCATCGCCCCCCTCTTTTCCGCCCCCGATACTTCGCCGCGACGCCGTACCGAAGCCTCCGGCGCGGCCCCCCGGACGGCGCCGCGCTTGTCCTGGACCGCCCCCGCGTCGGCCGCGATCTGGGCGCGAGTGCTCCGACGCCGCTCGGGCCCGGGCTCTGGAGCTGTGTGCCGTCGCGACACTCGAACGCCTCGGGCCGCGCACCAGTGTCTTGGCGCTTTGCTCAGGCCTGGACTCTGGAGCTGTGTGCCTCCGCGGAGCTCGAACGCCTCGGGCCGCGCACCAGTGTCTTGGCGCTGTCGATTGGAGACGCCAGCGCGAGCTTCCAGGGGAACTGTGGCAGGCCGCCTGGCCTGGATCCGCTCGGCTCCGCGGACTTCGTCCGCGGGTCCACGCCTGTGTACAGACATGCACAGATACCAGAACAATCGCGCGCACTTCGCCGCGCGCTCTGTCTCTACCTGTCTCGGATCCCAGCGTACAGCGCAGAAGCGGGACCGTGCCCAAATAGATGGGACTGGCTGGTTTCGAAGCAAGCGCGCTCGTTGCTGACTAAGGAAAAGGGACTCGGGTTAAGGACGGGGGGGTGCAACCGAACACTTTTGCACACATGTGCAAGGATGGTTTCCCCTATCCCTGCTTCGAAGAAAAAGGAGGTGGGAAGACGACGAAAGGGAAGGGAGGGAAGGAGGGACCAAGGGAGTTAGTAAGATGGACGAAGGGTAGGACACAAAAAGATGAACGAAGAATGACCTGGAGGAAGAGCAAGATAAATGATGAGGACGTGCAAGGGTGAGGAAGACGAGGATTAAATGAGTGTGGGCAAATGGAGGGTCCTCCTCCTCATCCTGATCCTCATCACCCTCCTCCTAATCATCATCAGCAGCATCATCAGCAGCATCATCAGCATCAGCAGCATCCTCATCAGCATCGTCGTCGTCATCATAATCGCCATCACCATCACCATCAGCATCAGCATCATCATTATCATCATCAACAAACTCAGCATCGACAATAACCACCACCAACACCGTCACCATCCTCATCTTCACCATAACCATCACCATCAACATCACCATCATCATCACCATCATCATCATCATCATCGTCATCATCAGCAGCATCGCCGTCATCATCGCCATCATCACCATTATCAGCGCCACCATCATCATTACCATCCGCATCACCATCACCATCACAATCATCATCACCATCATCATCAGCATCGTCATCATCGTCATCATCAACATCGTCATCATCATCGCCATCATCAGCATCCGTGCCCGCATCAACATGCATCAACATCATCATCGCCTTCATCAGCATCATCATCAACATCGCCATCAACATGTTCCCATCACCATCATCCGCATCACCGCCATCACCATCACCACCATAGTCGCCACCACCACCAACATCATCATCATCATCACCAGCATCATCGTCGTCATCATCATCATCATCCTCAACATCAGCAGCAGCGGAATTATCGACATCATCACCATCACAGTCACCATCATTCCAATCCTCATCCGTATCCTCCTTCATGATCATCCTCAGCCTCAGCCTCAGCATCATCAGCATCGGCATTATCAACATCATCAGCATCAGCATCAGCATCATCAGAGCCAGCACAAACACCAGCACCAGCACCAGCACCAGCATCACCATCCTCATCCTCATCCTCACCACCATCACCCCCATCACCTTCATCACCATCATCATCATCACCACCATCACCATCACCACCACCATCATCATTGTCAGCATCATCAGCATCATCAGCATCAGCATCATCGCAACCATCACCATCACCATCACCACCACCATCATTATCATCATCATCATCACCATCACCATCACCATCCTCATCATCATCCTCATCATCATCATCCTCACCTCATCCTCACCCTCACCCTTACCCTCCTCCTCCTCATCCGCATCCGCATCCTCATCCTCATCCTCGTCCTCATCCTCCTCCTCATCATCATCAGCACCAGCACCAGCACCATCATCATCATCATCATCATCATGATTATCATGATTATCATGATTATCATCATTATCATTATCATCATTATCATCACCATCATCATCATCATCATCATCATCATCATCATCATCACCACCATCATCCGTCGTGGGCCTCTGCGCTGCCGAAGTGCGACTCTCTTGGGGCCCTGCGGCCCATATTTGCGGTACTCTTAGGGCCACTCCAGCAGTTCCTTCAAGCAAGATTGGGGTCCTCTTGGGCTCGCGTGGGCTGTATTTGAGCCAAGGGGTAGAAGGAGGAGGAGGAGGAGGAGGAGGAAGAGGAGGAGGAGGAGCAGGAGGAGGAAACAGGCTGCATAGAAGGAGGAGAGGGAGGGGGAGGGGGAGGGGGAGGGGAAGGAGGAGAAGGAGAAGGAGGAGAAGGACGAGGAGGAGGAGGGGGCAAGAGGAGGGACGAGGAAGAGAAAGGGGAGGGAAGGAAGAATGGGGGAGAGCGAAGGGGAGGGGGGAATGGCAGGAAGGAAGAGGATGGCAAAAGTGGAGAGTGGGGCCGGGAACGGGGAAAAAGAAAGGTGAGCCCTTTTTCAACACTCGGAGGCCTCCGGGGACCTCCTCCTGGAGGCGAGTGCGAGGAGGAAGAGGAGGACGAGGAGGACACGATCTCAACGTTCTTCGTTTATGAAGACCTGGGGGGGGCTCGTCGCCGCGACTGGTCTCGAAACGAAGTCCTGCTGAGATCGCAGGAATCGGGTTTTAGGAGGGAGGCGGAGGAGGAGAACCCAGCGACTTCCCTGATAGTGGAGCACTTCGAAGGGCCCATGGGCTCATAGACGTCTTATGAACCTGGGCCTGCTGCAGAGGCCTGCTGCAGAGGACCTACTGCAGACCTTGCTACTATGGCTGTCCAAAGACTGCCAGAACCGCAGATCGACCGAAATGTTCGCATAATCGAATCGATCGGAACGTACCCCATCCATGGATGAGGGAAGCACCCCTCGGTACGTGCCGATCGCTACCACACAGACATCGGCACGCATCGTCGAATCGATCGAATCGGAGACAGATCCTGTCACTGGAGCTGCCCGCTGGTCAAGGTCGCTGCTAGCGACCATCATGAGCGCACTAATCCCTTCGCCCTGAAGTTACGAAGAGATCGTGACACTGGGACCACATCGGCAGATCGCGCGAATACTCTTCCTCCTGATCCACATTACCTCCACAATCGCGGATGAAACTCCCCCTTCCATGGAACAAACACAGGTGCTTCACTCGGTCCTGAGAAACTCGATCTACACAATGTTGACAATGAGAAGATTATCCTTTGGAGTGTTTGCGCTGTGCTGAACAAGCGGAGCTAGTGGCACGGAAGAGCGAATCAGATAAGTCGACCGCTGGTAAATACGACGGCGTGGTGACATGATAAGTGCGGTGGCGATCTCAAGTCGAGGCACAACGAGACAAGTATGTGCAACAAATCATGATGCACTTACGCAACGACGCGCTCCTATGACAAAATGTGGCATGGTGGCTGCGGCGACGATCGACAAACTGGCGGAATCTGACGGCAGCGGCGGCATTGATCAACACTATCTGATGCTGATGGTCATCTGGAAGCTGACACGAAGGATCCGTGCAACCCATGTGGAAGCACACTCGGCAGCCACGCCCTGCACACTGGACCGTCGTCCAGCCGCGCTGCGTCGAATACGCAGAGGCAGCTGCGGCCGCGAGCGATGTCCGCAAGCACGCCGATAATCCAACCATTGTCTTCAGCGCCCTCTGGGAGCAAATTTTGCCCAGGCATGGCTCCCCCAGGTGTACCCGAAGCTCCCTGGCGGTCTCCCTAGCCTCCGAAATTGCCACGATGGCTTCGAAGACGGCCTCGGAAGGCCGCCAAAGCCGCCCAGGTGGCCCCAGGTTACAGTCGGGGCGTTGACCTAAGGAACCCTAAATAAGGAACGATGTCCCTTTTTTCCATAAGTTAAACTTCGATTTCCCATCGAAAACATAAGGAACAATCAATGAACACCGAGCCCCTCCCCAACGAAAAGGGTTCCTTCTTCAGCGCCCCGACTGTACCTTAGAAGAGGCTCAGCACTCCCCAAGAAGCAAGAGGCGCACCAGAGGAAGGAGGAGGCAACAAAAAGGCGTGAACCTTGGACCTCTCGACCCCTTCCCGAGGGCCAGGCGTTCACCCCGGCTCCGTCTCGCTAGCTCCGAGGTCTGAACACGGCCCCCGGAAGCCAGTGGCGAAACAACTCAGCCTCGATTCTGCTCAAGACGCCAGTGGGCAAGATTGGCTCCCAAAGACCTCGGGGGCGCCAGGGGTCCACGTGCCCCTGGGGCCCACCCTCGGCACGAAGCGTGGCTCGTCGGCGAAGCACCGGCTGCCTGCCCACCAGCGCTGTACGCGACCACTCTCCTGCGGGGTGTCGTCTTCGTCCTAGTCCTTGCCGTCGCCGTCGTCGGCGGCGTCGTCGTCGTCCTCGCCTCCACCGCAGTCCTCCTCCTTCTCCTCATCATAATCATCAACATCATCATCATCATCATCATCATCATCATCATCATCATCGTCATCATCATCATCATCATCATCATCATCATCATCATCATCATCATCATCATATCAGCCACCACTATTATCATCATATGTATGGCCACCATCACCACCGCCACCATAATCATCATCATCATCATCATCATCAGCATCATTATCATCATCATCGCCATCATCATCATCATCATCATCATCATCATCATCATCATCGTCATCGTCATCGTCATCGTCATCAGCATCAGCATCATCAGCATTGGCGTCATCAACATCATCATCACCGCCACCAGCACTATCAGCATCGCCATCAGCATCATCATCAACATCATCATCACTACCACTTTCATCCCCATCACATTCACATTGACCAACATCACCGTCATCACCATCATCACCAGCATCAGCATTTGCATAAAAATCCTCATCCTCTTCCCCGTCCTCCCCCCCTTGCTCCTCATCCTACTGATCCTTCATCTCTTCCTGTTTCCTCCTTCACCTCCGCCCTCCCCCACATTATCTGAACTGAAACCACGCGCTCGCTGAGGTTCCAGCAAGCACCCGCCCTTGACAAGTTCACAACTGCATGCGTGTATGCACATACCCAAACAACATGACATGGACATGAACTGGAAAAGGAACACGAAAGCGGACCGGGCATATACATATCACCGACAGATGTATGCCCAACCGCGAAATCAATTGTATGGCTAGCAGCGCATCAACAGCGCATTGTAACGCAAAGAAGTGCCAAGCATTTCAAGGAACTGTCAGCAATGCAACTGCAAACCAGTGCAATGCAAATCCAGGTCAATCATAGCAATGTAAAACATACGCAACGAAGCATCAGTAAGCAGCCCAAGTGCAAGGCAAAACAATGAACTGCGATCGAACGCAGACAATACTAGAACCACGCGCGCGCTTCGCGCGCGCTTAGCTTCTAGCTAGGAGGCGAGCTTGAGTCAACGAAAGTCGCAGGGAAGGGGGCAGGGGGAAGAAGGCCAGAGAGCGCTGAAAGATACAAATACTGGAACCCTCTTGTGATTTTGTGGGGGGCCTCGTCCGGCCGCTCGCTGGGAGTTTGACGTAGCTTCTCGGGAGCCTCTGAACCTGTCGGGGGCCTCCTGGAAGCAGGTTCGAAGCATTTTGGGGCCGATTTGGGGCTTCTCGGGGCCTCCTTTGGGCCTCTTGGGGGTCTCCTGGGGCCTCTTGAGGGGCCTCCTTGGGGCCTCCTGGCGGCCTCTTGGGGCGGAAGGCTCGAGCTTGCGGTTCGTGGTCCCCCTCTGGGCCCCCTCTTGGGCCCGTCTTGGGGCCCTCTTGGGCCATCTTGGGCGCCTCTTGGGCCGTCTTGGGGCCCTCTTGGGCTGTCCTGGGGCCCTCTTGGAAGCTTCTTGGGCCGTCTTGGGGCGGTCTTGGGCGCCTCTTGGGCCGTCTTGGACGCGGTGAAAGCCCAAGAGGCGAACATGCGAAAAATATACGTTTTCCCATAGGAATGACACGATTTTTGCTTCTTGGGCCTCTCTTGGGCTGCCTCTTGGGCCCGTCTCGGGGCCCTCTTGGGCCATCTTGGGCACCTCTTGGGCCGTCTTGGGGCCCTCTTGGGCTGTCCCGGGGCCCTCTTGGAAGCTTCTTGGGCCGTCTTGGGGCGGTTTTGGGCGCCTCTTGGGCCGTCCTGTAACGTCGGAAAGCCCAAAAGGCGACTTTGTGAAACATGCACGTTTTACGAAGGGAATGGGTCAATTTTTGCGTCTAGGGGCCCTCTTGGGACGCATGTTAAAGGCTTCTTGGGGCGTCTTGGGGGCGTCCTTGGAGGGCCTCCTGGGGTATATGACTATTTTACCGTGCCCGGGCGCGTGCCCGGGTGCCCAAGTGCGTGCCCGGGCGCGTGTCCGGGTGTCCGTGTGTCCGGGTGCCCGGGCGTCCGGGCGTCCGGGCGTCCGGGTGTCCGGGCGTCCGGGTGTCCGGGTGTCCGGGTGTCCGGGCGTCCGGGTGTCCGGGTGTCCGGGTGTCCGGGTGTCTGGGTGTCCGGGTGTCCTGGTGCCCGGGTGTCCGGGTGTCCGGGTGCCCGGGTGTCCAGGTGTCCGGGTGTCCGGGTGTCCGGGGGTGTCCGGGCGTCCGGGTGTCCGGGTGTCCGGGTGTCCGGGTCCGGGTCCCCGGGTGTCCGGGTGTCCGGGTGTCCGGGTGTCCGGGCGTCCGGGTGTCCGGGTGTCCGGGCGTCCGGGCGTCCGGGTGTCCGGGTGTCCGGGCGTCCGGGTGTCCGGGGTGTCCGGGTGTCCGGGTGCCCGGGTGTCCGGGTGTCCGGGTGTCCGGGTGTCCGGGTGTCCGGGTGTCCAGGCGTGCGTCTGGGTGTCCGGGTGTCCGGGTGTCCGGGTGTCTGGGTGCCCGGGTGCCCGGGTGTCTGGGTGCCCCGGTGTCTGGGTGTCCAGGTGTCCGGGTGTCCGGGTGCCCGGGTGTCAGGGTGCCCGGGTGCCCGGGTGCCCGGGTGTCCGGGTGTCCGGGTGTCCGGGTGTCCGGGTGTGCGGGCGTCCGGGTGTCCGGGTGGCCGGGTGTCCGGGTGCCCGGGTGGCCGGGTGGCCGGGTGTCCGGGTGTCCGGGTGCCCGCAGGTGTCCGGGTGTCCGGGCGTCCGGGCGGGCGTCCGGGTGTCCGGGCGTCCGGGCGGGCGTCCGGGTGTCCGGTCCGGGTGCCCGGGTGTCCGGGCGCCCCGGTGCTCGGGTGCCTGGGTGTCCGGGTGCCCGGGTGTCCGGGTGCCCGGGTGTCCGGGTTTCCGGGTGTCCGGGTGTCCGGGTGTCCGGGTGCCCGGGTGCCTGGGTGTCCGGGTGTCTGGGTGTCCCGGTGCTCGGGTGTCCATGTGTCCGGGTGTCCGGGTGTCCGGGTGCCCGGGTGTCCGGGTGCCCGGGTCTCCGGGTGCCTGGGTGTCCAGGCGTCCGGGTGTCCGGGTGTCCGGGTGCCCAGACGTCTGGGTGTCCAGGTGTCCGGGCGCCCTGTTGCGACGGCGTTCAGGCTCCCTGATGCCCCAATGCGAAAGTGTATGTAGGCCCGGTTTCAAAATTAGTATAGAACACAAGAGAAAAGAAACAATAATATTTGTTGTTGTTATGGGGCTATAAGGCTATTGAGCTATGGGGCTGTCTCGCAACATGGAAACATGGCTAACTATAGGGATATAGGGCTATTGGGCCATCGGGCTATAGCGATATTTGGCTATAGGGCTATAAGGTATATAAAGCTATAGGGCTGTAGGGCCATAGGGCTAACGGGCTGTAGGTCTATGGGGGTATAGGGCCATAGGGCTATATGGCTAAATGGCTATAGCGTTATTTGCCGATGGGGCTATAGGACTCTAGCGCTATATGGCTAAAATGTTATAGGGCTATCGAGCTATAGGGTTATGGGGCTGTAGGGCTAGGGCTATAGGGCTATAGGGCTGTAGGACTATGGGGCTATGGGGCTATAGGGCTATATGGTATAGGGCTATAGGGCTATACGGCTATAGGGCTATGGAGTTATAGGGCTAATAGGCTGTAGGGCTGTAGGGCTGTAGAGGTATAGGGCTACGGGGTTCTAGGGATATAGGGCTATGGGGCAACGGGGCTGGCGGGCTATAGGGCTATAGGGCTACATAACTATAGGGCTAGAGGGCTATAGGACTATAGGACTATAGGGCTACAGGGCTATAGGGCTATACGGGCAAAGGGCTATAGGGCTACAGGGCTATCGGGCTATAAGTCTATATGGGCTATTGTGCTATATGGCTATAGGGATATCGTGCTATATGGCTATAGGGCTATAAGGCTATAGGGCTATAATGCTTGAGGGCTTTTGGACTATAGGGCGATAGGGCTATAGGGCTAGAGGGCTATAGGCTGATTGGCTATTTGGCTATTGGGTTTATGGGCAAATTGGCCTAATGGGACCACTTGGGCTAATTGGATTGATGGGGTTATATGGCTATGGGGCTATACGGCACCCCCGGGCATCTGGGCCCGGCCACCGAAATCGGCGGCCCGGTTCACCTAACCATGGGAATCCGCTAGGACCCCTGCGGAGGCAAGCTCTGATTGCGGAATATGCATACACGTGTGAACGTAAAAAAGTGTATGTATGTATATATGTACACGTAGAGATACAGTGCAAGCCAAGACCGGGACGCTATGCTAGGCCACGACCGGGACAAATCCCACCAGCCCTCTGGGCGTAGGTGGTCTAGAACAGATCCTCTTCCACCCCTCCCTCTTCCCCCTTGGGGAGGGGTTTACCCCTCCCCCTACCCCCTCCCCTGGACCTGGACGGGGGGGGCCGCGGGTAGTTAGAGCGTCCAAGATGGCCCAAGACGGCTCCAAGAGCGCCTCAGAGAACCCAAGATGAGCTCCAAGATGGCTCAAGATAGCGCAAGATCGCTCACGATGGCTCCTAAGATGGTTCCAAGAAGCCCAAAGACGGCCCCAAGATAACTCCAAGTGGCCAAACAGCTCCCCAAGGAGGCCCCGAAGAGGCCAAAATCGTCCCAAAACCTAAGGAAAATCAATGATTTTTGCTTTCTCGCCTTTTCGCTTCCGATGGCCATCCGAGGCCTGGAGATGGCTCCAAGATGGCCCAAGAGGGCCCCAAGAGAGCCCCAAAAGAGCCCCAAGACGGCCCCAAGAGCGCCCAAGAGCACTCCAAGAGCGTTCCAAGAGGGGTCCAAGAGGCGATTTTAGGGGCTTCCGAGGGGGGGCGCTAATTAAACCCCCCCTCTTGTTTGATCGACTCCCTCCAAGATGGCCCCAAAAGCGCCCCGAAGGCTCCCCAGAGCGCCTCAAGAGGGTCCCAAGAGGCGCCCAAGATGCCCCAAGGCGCCCAAAAAGCCCTCCAAGAGGCCCTCAAAAGACCC